TTTTTTTTCCTCTTGGCTGCAGTCATGGGACATGGAGGCTTCCTCCTCTCGATTCCACTCCTTCTTTGATAAATTCCTTAAATATCTCCAGACACCAGTAAATTTGGCCACGTAATGACTGCTTGAACCCCGATATTTCACAGGAATCATCTAACTTCTGCCCGCGAATGGGTAAATGAAAAGTTACCTTATCCCCACACTTTTACCTAACCTCTAAACCCTCCCTGATCCTCTCTCTCTCCTGCCCTCTTGCATTCCTGAACCTAAGGGAATCTCTGACTCTAAAGAACCTTATCTTTTTTTTTTTTTTTTGGTTTTTTGAGAGGGTTTCTCTGTGTAGCTTTGCACCTTTCCTGGAACTCACTCTGTAGCACAGGCTGGCCTCGAACTCACAGAGATCCGCCTGCCTCTGCCTCCCGAGTGCTGGGATTAAAGGCGTGTCCCACCACCGCCCAGCTAAGAACCTATCTTATCTGTTCTCCACTCTGTTCTCCAGCACTGGGTGGGCAGCTAAGCACGGACAGGTCTGGAAGCAGGCTAGGATGCATGCAAATAAGTTTATGATCAGGACCCACATGGGGCTCACAATAATCTGGATGGCTCGTTAGCCAGAGATCAGTTTACAGCCTGCCTCCTGGTGGGTCTTCCTAAAGCTGTCCTCAAGCCAGCCAACTATCCAGTGAGCTCCAGGAAAGGCGCAAAACTACGCAGAGAAACCCTGTCTCAAAAAAAAAACAAAGTAAAAAAAAAAAAAAAAAAAAAGTAATTCAAAACACGGAATAAAATTCATCTCTGGTCTCCCAGAGCTCCTGAAATTAGGGCTAAACTTAAGCATCTGAAGAGCAAGTTCCTAACCCCACAGGCAGAAGTTTCAGCTGTGGCATTTAAGGTGTACCGTGGGAGAGATGAGAAAGCCCATGACAAAATTGCCAAATGTTGGCACACGCTATCCGAGCGGCTGCATCAGGGCTTCCAGGTCCCTGTTTTCGAAGGCCACTCGGGCTAGTGCATGCCCTGCCGGGCCATCAATTGAGCCCTGTTCTAAGTGCCACCTAGAGAGATAACTGGTCAGCTGACTACCCCTGGGCACCCAGGGAGATGGGGACATCAAACTAAGACCTCCAGTAGACCTCCTAGGCTTGGCCATGGGCTCACAGGGAACCCAGGATGCAGCATGGGACGATTCGTTTCCTTCCTATTGGACACTGAGCCACTTACTCAGTCCTGAGGGAGTTTTGGGGTCCTACCTCTCCTCATTTCCCTATTGTTGGGGTATGTAAGGGGGATGGCCTTACCCACCTCACCAGACTTAATTGTACTTTCAGGGTTACTTAATGGGAAAAGATTTTCAAGCTAAGGTAGGAGCTTTCATTTCATTTGCTCCCTCCATGTGCCTCACTCCAGACCTGTCAACAGTGCTTCTCAGGCACAGTGACACAGACAGGGCCCTGCTCTCTCAAGTTCCAGAGGACATCAGGATCCACTGCCTTGTCACCACCAATCCCAGAAAAATGAGGTCTCACCCCACAAGCTTTTCTCTTCCTGATTCTCTCTTCTAATTAACTACTCAGCTAATTGTTACAGGATCATCATAGAGCTGGAGTCCAAGGACCATCAGATATACCCAGGTGGTAAGGAACAGTAACAATCAAAAGGTATTTACACCCCCAGACCCAAAAGTGTCTGGGCTCTGCAAAAACCAGACTTTAACATAACCATCTATTACTGTTAAATGCTCTCAACAATTGATCACCTGTGTCTCCTGGATGCTAAACTAATAAAGGAAACAGGTGCCTTAAAATAA